CGGCATCTTCGGCCCTGCGGCCGGCAGCCTGCACCACCCGCACACGGACGCTCAGAGCCACCTCCTCTTCCCGGGCATCCACGACCAGCACGGCCCCCACGCCTCCCAAAACGTCCTCAACGGACAGATGCGACTGGGCTTGCCGGGGGAGGTATTCGCCCGCTCGGATCAGTACCGCCAGGTTTCCAGCCCCAGGACTGACCCTTACTCGGCGGCTCAGCTGCACAACCAGTACGGCCCCATGAATATGAATATGGGCATGAACATGGCAGCCCACCACCACCACCACCCAGGTGCCTTTTTCCGATACATGCGGCAGCAGTGCATCAAGCAAGAGCTCATCTGTAAGTGGATCGACCCCGAGCAGCTGAACAACCCCAAAAAAAGTTGCAATAAAACTTTCAGCACCATGCACGAGTTGGTCACCCACGTCTCGGTGGAGCACGTTGGGGGACCCGAGCAGAGCAACCATGTCTGCTACTGGGAGGAGTGTCCCCGCGAAGGCAAGCCCTTCAAAGCGAAATACAAACTGGTCAATCATATCCGAGTGCACACGGGAGAGAAACCCTTCCCCTGCCCCTTCCCTGGCTGCGGAAAAGTTTTCGCCAGATCAGAAAATCTCAAAATTCACAAAAGGACGCACACAGGTAATTCGGGTTTCGTTCGGCAGATTTCCCCCCTCTGCCCGTGTATATATATGTATATATATGTATAAACCGATAGAGACTCAGACAGTGATGTAAAATGATGAGAGATAAAATAAGCTTCCAGTTTAATTTCCCACATATACACACTCTATCACACAGCTGCTTTTGTTTTGGTTTCCTCCCCACCAGAATACACTTCCCTCCATCCCAGATTTCGAAAGGATATTTTACTGATTTGTTTTAATTTGCGGGTGAGAGGTGTAGATTCGTGCCGAGTCTCAGCGGGATCTTTCCGCAGAAACGCGGAATACAGCGCAAACTAAATTCTGCCGTCCTGCTAAAATCCGGGAAGACACCTATCTATCTTTTTATCTGTCTATCCATCCATCCACCCATCCATCCACATGAGACGCCTTATACATTTGCTATACGCAACGTATTTGCATACAATTCAGCGCTTGTGAGCACGGCTTTTATGTATGGATACCGAGAGAGAGAAACTATATAAATACGTGCAAAATCCGTCATTAGTCCCAAATCCCGTTGGAAGTGCCAAAAGTCCCTTTCTGGAAATGCTTTCCATTAAATTTAAATGCTGTGAGCAAGGCAATAAAATTTTCTCATTTAAAAAAAAATGTTTTTAAAGTCTCACTCGATGTGATTTAAGGTGTTTTTGCAACAGTTTATTAAATTATGTAATAAGGAACAGAGGATTTGAGGCTCGGAAACTTCCACCCCAATCAGGTGGAAGAGGGTCGAGGGAGCCCTGGCTTTCCCGATGGAAAATAGCCTGAGCCGAAGGGTAACAAAAATTAACGCATCCTCCCGCCTCATCTATTATTCATTTACTACTCCTGCCGGCTCAAACCGTGCCAGACTATTTCATAAAAGACAGCCAAATATTTTAGCGACTTGCACTCCAAATATTTACCCGGAGAAAGGCTAAAAATCTCGAGGCCTATTGTTTTCTCAAGTGCTAAGCCCGATGTGAGGTGCGAGACGAGCTTTAACAAGGTTTAAAATTTGAGAAATGTATTTGCATGAGATGCCCGCACTGAAGTCATTGTGTCTGAGCGGATGTCTTTAAGAAACAATTTGGGTGCTAATGGAATTTAATGTTAAATGCTTCCCCCCTCCAAAGGCGGGGGGATGTGGAGTTCTCACCTCCAAATTACTCCCCGGCATTTGGAGTCCTGGCAGCCGGGTGAGAGGAATCCCTATGAAAATTAGATGAAGTATTTTACAGACGTTTAGTTTTCCCAGCGGATGTGCATTTATCTCGAATATCCATACACGAAACAATATGCCCGGCCTTAAATCTGTCGGTAATGGTTTCCAGTTTAACAGGATAGCGGATTTGGTACCGAGGCGAAACGTCTCGATGCTGCTCGCTTTTTTTTTTTTTTTTTTTTTTAAATCATCGCCTTTCTTCTTCAATCTCTTTCGGGGCTGACTGTGTGTGTCGGCACTGGTCGAACTAAAATCGGGCAAAATGCCGGGACGGGGGTGCCCGGGGTGTTTTGGTAGGAAAACCAGGTGGGGGACGGGGGTTGCCTCCCTGCAGGGCAAAAAGAGTGAGCAGCACGGCCCTTCCGCGCTGCGGGTACCGGGACAGAACCGGCCTCTTGCTTTGGGAAACTGCTGGACGAAGTGACTGGGTGAGGGGGGGGGAAGTGGGGAGGAAAGTTGGCCCGAGGCTGCGCGGGGTTTGAGTGGGGGCGATCGCGCTCACCTCGCAGCTGCGCCACTCTCTTACAGGGGAGAAGCCCTTCCAGTGCGAGTTCGAAGGCTGCGACCGTCGCTTCGCCAACAGCAGCGACCGCAAGAAGCACATGCACGTCCACACCTCGGATAAGCCCTACCTGTGCAAGATGTGCGACAAGTCCTACACGCACCCCAGCTCCCTGCGGAAACATATGAAGGTACCCGGCCCCGCAGGAAGGCGGCGGGAGGCGGGAGGGCGGCACGCGCCGCCGCCGGGCGCCGACGCGGGCGGCGGGCGGCGGGCGCGGGGCCAGGGGCGGCGGCGGGGGCGGCGGCGGCGGGGGGCGCGCCCCGGGGGGCGCGCGCCGTCCACCCCATCCTTCCTCCACAGGCCGTGTTGCCTTTGCCCCCAGGTGCACGAGTCGTCCCCGGTGTCAAGGTTCCAAATCCTCCCGGCCGCCAGCTCGCGGCTACGAGTCTCCAACGCCGCCGGGGGCTGGTGTCCCCTAGCGCCGATCGCAGAACACCAGCAACCTCTCCCCGGCCCGCGGCGGCGGCGGCAGCGGCGGCGGCCGTGTCCGCCGTGCACCGGGGCGGGGCGGGGCAGCGGCGGCGGCGGGCGGCCAACAGCGGCCTCTCCTTCAAACTTCATGGTGGTAACGTGTAGGGCCCCGCCGGACTGCTCTGCAACGGCCCCCGCAGCGCCTCACCCGCCGGCGGCGGCGGGCAGGAGGGCAGCGAGCGAGCCCGCCGGAGACGCAACCGGGAGGTGCCGCCGCACCCTGCCAGCAGCGGAAATGACGGCCGAACAGGATGGGGACGGGGGACCTTCATCTCCCCACACCCTCCCGCCTTCGCGTCTTTTTTTTGTTGGATTTTTTTCTTTTTTGTTTCTTTTTGAGAACGTTTCGAACCAGCAAAAAATATTCTAAAAAGTACGTGCCGAAAAACATAAAAGAATGGGTAAATCTATAGAGGAACGGAAAGGGGAGAGAGAGAGAGAGAGGGGAAAAGACCAACCCCAAACGCCACCAACACATCACCCAATAAAAAGCTTCCCAAGCCGGTGGAAAGAAACTCTCCCTCCAGAGCCTTCAGACAAAAGATCAGAGACTCAAACTCCTCCGGCCCCTGCGCCTCCCCGCCCGGAGCAGCCAGCGCCCTCCCGCCCTACGAACTGTGTATATAGCGGCCCTCTCCTTCCTCCGGCGAGGTGGGGAACGAGATTTTCCTGGATTCTCGGTGTATAGAAGTTCGTCCCGTTTGTAAACCGCGGATTGGTCCCTTTCTTCTTCCTTTTTTTTTTTTCTTTTTTTTTTAAGTCTTTTTTTTTTTCCCATCTTCCTCCCTCCCTGAGAAAGTGAAGGACTTGTTTTCTTTTGTCCTGGTCTCCTTCCCCACCTCCCTCTTTTCTTCCTTTTTAGTTCACCCTTTTAAAAAAAGTAACATGGAAGAAAAAAATTGTTTCTTTTGTAATTGTGATATCTTGAATATTGTGTTCCTTTTTAAGAGGCAACTTGATTGTAAACTGTATTTCAACTATAGACTGGGGAAGAAATACCGTGCCAAAGTCTCCATTCTGTTACTTACAGACACTCACACAAACAACAACGCTTGTGAATGTATTTTTCTGTTAGCTGGGTTTATATGTGATGTTTTAGTGCTTTTGCAAGTTCAATTTGTTAGTTCCTGTTCGGAAGATTGTGAGGAAAAATAAACGTTGTGCCGTTAGCTTTTCTGTAATAACACCCTTCCTCCTGTAAATACCTGTTACCATATTTATCCATTTGTAATTAAATTATGGTATTAACTTGCTACAGAGGAAACAGTATTTATAAAGAATGTTTCTTAACTATAAATATGTACAATTGTGAGCATAAACTGTTTCAGATTTTTTATTTGAAGGTTTAAGTGGTTTCATCATTTCTTGTGATATGTTTTGAGAGTAATGCATACAGAAATATAATAAAACGTGTTGAAACTGCACGAGCTGTTTCCTTTTTATGCCAAGGGCTTTCTGAAACCTGCTGTAACTCATGTGATGGGCTGAGTGGCGACTGCAAAACAAATGCTTTTAAAACATCCGCGAGTTACTGGACCAGGAGGATATCTTCCAGCTGGGCTCCCCCGTACAGAAAAAAAAACCAAACTAAAACATCAGAAAAAAAGCTACAAAGCCACCCAACACTTTAGGAAGCCTCTGAGCTGAAAGAAAAGGGTGAAGATGTGCATATTCCCCAAATAACTTGCAAGGCAGGATCTCCTTTAGTAAGAGTTACACGGCGAGATCACAGCTTCCTCCGCCTCCTGCCTTACTCGGGCTCACCCTTCTCTCTCCGGTGCGTGTCTGACTGGAAGCTCATTACAGGGTGACAAAACGGGGCGTTTCGGTACGGAGGTGGAGGCGCAATGACTAGGAGCTGAGCTCCGCTGCTTTGAGCCGTAGATCGTGTCCTTCTGCGCCTCCCGTCTTTTTAGCAGCCTCCATTCAACCCTGGAGAGGAGAAAGTTGTGATACCCGAGAGCTTACACTTCTCCTTCGAGGTTTTTTTCCCCCCTCTCTTTCTCCTTTTTTTTTTTTTTTTAATTTTATTTTATTTTCATCCCAGGGAGCGGTTTGGGCTGTCAGATGTGTTCAGGGAGGGACTGAGAGCCGCAGGGAGATGACTTTCCCGAGATGCTGACCCAGAGTTTTGCTCCGCGCGGGCCGTCGGAGCCACCCGTGTGGGGCCGGTGGACAGCAGCTCTCCGGGCACAGCTCGCCAAACCGGGACAGCCAAGGCGAGTGTGTCAGCAGCCAGGATGTAGTGGAAAAAAGTAAAAAAGTTCGGCCTTGTCAAACCACCGAAATACGCCTTGCGAAGAGGCAGCGCTGCGAGTCGGGCTCCGAGCGCCCTGCGGTGGCTGCGCTGCCTTCAGCGACGGCTTCTGCAGTCGGGGAGAGCCCTCTGCTCCTCACACCCGGCGAGCCCATCGCTTACGCCCCCCAGGGCCACTCGTCGGTTTGGGTTTTTCGGGCTTTGTCCTGCGTATTCAAATATCAATACAGATGTCTCGAGTCGGTATGAGGTAGTTGGGGGGGGAGAGGAGGGTACACGGGGCCTTGATCACTTCTGGGGTGAAGTGGGGGTTACCCGCACCCAGGAGAAGGGGAGGAGGGAGGGAAAGACACTCTGCTCCGTCCCGTTGCTGACAAGGAAGTTTAGATGGGAAGCGGAGCCGAAGCTTCCTCGGCGGCTGTGCTCCTCCCAGCGCGGCCATCCACGCGCACACGGCAGCTCTTCGGGTAATCAAACGACTATTAAAACCTAATTTATGTTCCGTAATAATATTACGTAAAAAAATATTTATTAAAATCATTGGCATATGCCGCCTGCCCCTTGGAGACATCTGTGGGAAATGCAGCTGCGAGGATCCCTCCTTGTCCTGCCGGCCTCCTCTCAGCCGAAAAACCAAACGGGGATCCCGCTTCATAGCCAGTCCCTGCCAGCCACCGTCTGCCCAAATTCCCTCCCGGGCCCGGGGGCGCACGGGTAGCCCTGCCCAAGGGTGACCAAACCCGCTCTGCTGTCTTCCGCCCCGGTGGGCTAGCTCCGGCTGGAGAGAAGCTCTCCGGATCTGGGTTCCCCTTCTCCCTTCTCTCGGAGCCGTTCTGGCTTAAGGAGACCCCAGGGGTGATCCTCCCCTCGACCCCTGATAGCGAGGGTGCGCGGGGCAAGCAACCTCCCTGGCCAAAGGGCAGGTCGTGTCTCTCGGGCAGGGATGCCTCTCCTCCGGCAGGCCCAGCGATGGGACCGTGGTGGCCGTGGCCGTGAGTAAGCTCCCCCCCTTCCCTGTCCTACCCGGGCTGGCCTTGAACTTGACCCTGGCCTTGGCG